CTACAAAAGGGTCAAGCTTTGAATAGAAGAATCAGAATTCTTGTTGGTCATTTTTTAGCAAAATGCCAATGGTCTAATCCAATACAATGATCTATGCTAAGCGAAGCTAAAAGAGCTCGCCTCAGACCTGGAGATCAGCTGAATATAAAAAGCTATTGAAAAGTTATCTAAGGTATTTGGGTAATTTTTGAGATGCTTCTGGTCTAATCCGATTCCGTGATCTATGCTAAGCTAAGCTAAAATTGCTCCTGCCAGACCTGGAGATCAGCTAAATAGAAAAGATTATCGCAATTCTTTTCAGACATTTTTGAGAGGAATGCTAATAGTCTAATCTGATTAAATGGTCTATGCTAAGGTAAGCTAAAAGTGCTCCCATCAGACCTGGAGATCAGCTGAATAAAACAAGTTATAGAAATTATTTTTGGTCATTTTTAAGCGAGATGCTAATGGTCTAATCCGATTCAATGAGCTATGCTAAGCTAAGCTAAAAGTTCTTCCGCCAGACCTGGAGATCAGCTGAATAAAACAAGTTATAGAAATTCTTTTTGGTCATTTTTGAGCGAGATGCTAATGGTCTAATCCGATTCAATGAGCTAGGCTAAGCTAAGCTAAAACTGCTTTTTCCAGACTCTTGAGATCAGCTGTATAGAAAAAGTTATAGAAAAGTTATCGAAATTCTTTTTGGTCATTTTTGAGCAAGGTGCTAATGGTCTAATCTGATTCAATGAGCTATGCTAAGCTAAGCTAAAAGTGCTCCTGCCAGATCCACAGATCAGGTGAATAGAAAAAGTTATTAAAGTTCTTTTTTTTTTTTTTTTGAGATGCTAATGGTCTAATCTGATTTAATGATCTATGCTAAGCTATTCTAAGCTAAAAGAGATCAGCTGAATGGTCAAACTCAACTTAACTCTTGGAGAAATCTTAAATGAGATTATTATCCAAAAAAATTGGTGTTTCTTTCAAATCTTTGCATCACTTCAAACCATACACCGCTGACAACATGCGTGTAAGACTGAGCCGTGTTGGGCCATCCTGCTGTTGGATCCCGAATCACACTGTCTGTCGTCATTTGTCGTTTAAAGCTTTTTACGTCATGTCTGTTTTGCTCTTTTTGTCGACTGGAGCAGAGAACCTTGTAGCCTTGGTTACCGTCGCCAAGAGACAGCCAAGTTTTTTGCGATTATGGGATGTGCATCAAGATGATGGTAACCGTTCAACTGTGTGTGTGTGTGTGTGTGAGTCAATTGTTTTCAGTATTGAGTTTGCATCAGCCTTTGTTTCAACTCATTATGATTTAATAATTCAGAGGATTAGTTGACCAGAACATGGTGAACCTTTGCTTTTTATTTAATTTCTTTTTTCATCATACACTCACCGGCCACTTAATTAGGTACACCTGTCCAACTGCTCAACGCAATCACATGGCAGCAACTCAGTGCATTTAGGCATGTAGACATGGTCAAGATGATCTGCTGCAGTTTAAACCGAGCATCAGAATGAGGAAGAAATGGGATTTAAGTGACTTTGAACGTGCTTGTTGGTGCCAGACGGGCTGGTCTGAGTATTTCAGAAACTGCTGATCTACTGGGATTTTCATGCACAACCCTTTTTAGGGTTTAAAGAGAATGGTCTGAAAAATATCCAGTGAGCAGCAGTTCTGTGGGCGCAAATGCCTTGTTGATGCCAGAAATCAGAGGAGAATGGCCAGACTGGTTCCAGCTGATAGAAACCACACCCATAGCAACAAAACAGTACCCTAGCAACCATTTATATTACCCATATCATGCTAGCTACTTCCTAGTCATGTTAGCTTCAAGCTAATCATGTTAGCATTGTTCTAGCTACATGCTAATTATGCTAGCATCTAAATTAGCATTAGGATAACGCAATTAGCATCATGTTAGCTACATGCTAATCATGTTAACATCATGCTAGCAAGTCAATTAGCATGTTGGTAGCATAATGGTAACGCGGTTAGCATCACACTAGCTACATGCTAATCATGTTAACATCATGCTAGCAACTCGATTAACATGTTGTTAACATGATGCTAAATTCTAGACCCTTATAGAACATGATGCTAAATTCTAAACCCTTATAAAAGTCATAGCTACATACCCCTGATGAAACCGCACGATTTGACGCCACTTACATGGGTCTAAGGTGAAAACTGTGTGACTAGTTGCGCGTCCAACCTTGAGGCGGATGGGCTACAGCAGCAGAAGACCACACCGGGTGCCATTCTACTAGTAAGGTGTACCTAATAAAGTGGCCGGTGAGTATATATTTGTGTTATAAATCCTTTCAGTCATGTACACTTCTCTGAGTGTGTGTGTGTGTGTGTGTTACTGCAGGTCGTTCTTCCTTTTATAAATACATTTCATCAAGTATGGCACCTGAATGTTCCTCTCTTTTAGTTTTGATTTAACACAGGACTAAATATGTTCGAAAACCACAAGAATCTGAGACGACAGATACACTGACGTGACCTCTTGTGTGTGGTGCAATGGATCGTGGCTTTAAGCTGTCTTTTTTTCTTCTTCTTTTTTTTAATTAGTGATGTTAGTTGACTTAGTTGAAACACTGATGACGTGAGAAAGCGGTTGATGAAACACCATGACCGGTCGTGCTACTACTACTCTGACATTATTTCAAACCAGAGCGGAGGAATATTTGTATATTTTGTATAATTAAAGGAACGGTGGCCCCGTCGTCCTCAGTTTCATTGTACTGTACAAATGCACTCCCGTCTCGCTCCCTTAGTCGCATGTTGAGTAGTTTGAGTTTTGTATATTTATTGTATTAACACAAAAATAAAATGAAAAACATCTACATAAATCGTGTGTGTGTGTGTGTGTGTGTGTGTGTGTGTGTGTCAGTTATTGTGTGTTGGTTTTCAGTGCTGATGCACGTCTTGTCAGGTTTTGGATGTCTTCAGTTCACTTCATGGTGGCGCAGTGGCTAGCATGATCGCCTCATAGCAAGAAGGTCGCTGGTTCAAGCCCCAGCTGGGTCAGTTGGCATTTCTGTGTGGAGTTTGCATGTTCTCCCAGTGTTGGCGTGGGTTTCCTCCAGGTGCTCCGTTTTCCCCAACAGTCTAAACACATGCGCTATAGGTGAATTGAATAAGCTAAATTGGCCGTAGTGTAAGAGTGTGAATGAGTGTGTATGGGTGTTTAGTGTTGGGTTGCAGCTGGAAGGGCATCCGCTGTGTAAAACATATGCTGGATAAGTTAGCGGTTCATTCTGCTGTGGTGACCTTATTAAAAAAGAGACTAAGCCGAAAATTAAACGAATGAATGAAATAATAAGAGATTGATTATAATTGAAGATATTATACACTACCTGACAAAAGTCTTGTCGCCCCTCCAGGTTTTAGGAGCAGCAAATAATACCTTGACTTCTAGTTGATCATTTGGTATCAGAAGTGGTTCATATGAAGAGCAAAGGCCTCTAGATTACAATTATTTGACCAAAATAAAATATGATCATGTCTTGATTTTGAATAATTTCATTAGGACAGTAAGGTCTGACTCAGCTTAGACTAAAGTCTCATCACTGAACAGAAATAATGTCCAGTATAGAATATAAAGTCCTGCTGCAGTGGAGACAGAATGAATATTGTGTCTGACTCCATCATGAGCTTGGAGGACTGCATCATACATCTCTGCACTGACTCACATCACTGATTAATAAAGTCATCTGGAATGACAAAGAAAGCCTTGCAGGACTCCCAGAGTTCATCAAGACTCTTTGATTCATCTTCATTGCCTCCTCCTTCATCTTACCCCAGACATGCTCAATAATGTTCATATCTGTTGACTGGGCTGGCCAATCCTGGAGCACCTTGACCTTCTTTGCTTTCAGGAGCTTTGATGTGGAGGCTGAAGTATGAGGAGCGCTATCCTGCTGGAGAATTCACCCTCTCCTGTGGTTTGTAATGTAATGGGCAGCACAAATGTCTTGATACCTCAGGCTGTTGATGTTGATCATCCACTCTGCAGATCTCTCACACGCCCCCATACTGAATGTGACCCCAAACCATGACTTTTCCTTCACCAAACTTGACTGATTTCTGTGAGAATCTTGGCTCCATGCAGGTTCCAGTAGGTCTTCTGCTGTATTAGTGATGATTGGGATGCAGATCAACAGATGATTCATTAGAAGAATTGACCGTCTGCCACTTTTCCGAACAATCAACTGGAAGTCAAGTTATTATTGGTTGCTCTAACCACTGAGATCGACGACAAGACTTTTGTCAGGTAGTGTATAAATCAATGCTGATTTTGAAGACCAGTAAATTTATTTATGCATAAATGCACTTCCTGTAACTTTATAGTATAATGTAGTTTTATTACTATTATTTTAAATCATGCATAAATTGTAATATTAGTAAAAAAAAATTTTAACAAATGAGTCAAATAAAAATATTTTCTCCTTTCAAGAAGTTCTGTAACTTATAGCATAATGATTCTCAATTTATAAATGTACATTGCTATTTTTATATTGGATTAACCATTTCGTTGACCACTTTTGTATAATAACCATCTTTAAATATAATGTGTTTTATATAGCGCATTTTTCGTGTATGGCCAAACACCAAAAGCGCTTCACAATCATGAGGGGGGTCTCTCCACACCACCACCCGTGCGCAACTGCATCCGCTTGGATGATGCGACGGCAGCCACAGGACAACAGCGCCATGCGCTCGCCACACACCAGCTGTGTGAGAGGTGGAGAGGAGATACAGTGGATGGGGATGATCGGGAAGCCATGATGGTTGAGAGCCAATGGAAAGAATTTAGCCATAACACCAGGGTTACACCCCTACTCTTTATGAGAAGTGCCATGGTATTTTTAATGACCGCAGAGAGTCAGGACCTCGGTTTGACGTCTCATCCGAAAGACAATTCCTGCCTCCTCCAGGACTATCAATGAATCAAAACTTCTTCATATGCATATAAACAGAATCAATGATGGGCTAAACATCTGTGGATTTCTGCGCCCGTAGATTCTGTGTGGGTCTAGTCATGTTGTCAGTACTCTGGAGGGGTGTTCTGGTGTAAACTGTGGCTAATTACTTTATTTATTTGCTGTTTGTACAATAATTTGTTGCCAGATCATGTCATTGTGATACAGAACCCTGCTGGAAAATCCAGCTTAAACCAGCCTAGGCTGGTTGGCTGGTTTTAGCTGGTCTACCAGGCTGGTTTTAGAGGGGTTTTGGCCACTTCCAGGCTGGTTTCAAGCCATTTCCAGCCTGGTCTTAGCTGGTCAGGCTGGAAAATTACCAGCCAAATCCAGCTAAAACCAGCCTGGTTTAAGCTGGATATAGCTGGTTTTGGCTGGACTCCCAGCTTGGCTAGGCTGGTCAAGCTGGTTTTAGCTGGTCATCTCCCAGCTTGACCAGCTAAGACCAGGCTGGAAATGGCTGGAAACCAGCCTGGAAGTGGCCAAAACCCCTCTAAAACCAGCCTGGTTGACCAGCTAAAACCAGCCAACCAGCCTTGGCTGGTTTAAGCTGGATTTTTTAGCAGGGAAAAGAAAAAAAACCCAAAACAAAAGTAGAAATGTGAACATAGGACACAATCTCCTTTCAGATACACCTTCATTAGACAAAGTCACAAATGACCTGGGAGCAGTTCACCAATTAAAGATAAAAAAAAAGTCTTATGGAAATGTATAGTAAAATGCATAATGACTAAATATTGTTCAACTTGTTTTATATATATAACTTGGCATTAATCTTTTCTCAACACCTCACTGGTCATTTTCACAAGACAAAAAACTTTGTTGGAAACTGTATTTTACATACTTAAATTGGACTTTTGCATGCTAAAAGTACTTGAGTAAGAGACATTTTACTTGATTTGGGTCATTAAAATAACCCTGACTATCAATATCATGATATAGATAGCCTATACCTGCTGTGTTCAACCTAAAACCTACAGTAGTTTGATATAAAACCAAAACAATACCCATTCTTGTCTTTTTAGCATTTTTTTAATATCAGTAAAATCAAGACATGTTAAATATATAGTAAATCTGCTGGTTTTAGACATACAGAATAATAATAATTAGTTATGTAACAACCATAACATTACCGTTATGTCTTAGGACATCTTTGATAAACATTTTTATCACCTACACCAAATATTGACTAATGATGGTACATTTATAACAACTATTTATTTGTTAGACTACTGTATTGTCAAACCATGTTGCATACAAATGCATTCAACAGACTTATATGACAGTGTATTTGCTGTAGAGAGGACAAATAAAACACGAGACAGGTGTTTAGAAAGAGTATAGTTTATTTTGTTTGACCTGCAAACTCATCTAAACAAGAGAAACTTTCAGAAAACAGCCTGGAAACATTATAATGCGCGCGCTCGTGAATATAACCCGCGGTTGTCTTCCACTGTTGTCTCCAATAGTCCTTCTTTGCTCAACAAATCAGCTGAAAAACAAAGCAAAACATTACAACAGCCAGACATAGAGCAAAGAGCATAGAATCACCAAGAGGCGACACTCTAGTGTAATTTTGGAAACAGAGACTTCATCAACACTTTTGATAGTAGGTGTTGTATTGTCTTCTCTCAGGTTGTATCTCAGCTTTAACGCGCTTTTTGAATAAATTAGTTAAAAACAAAGCAGCTGCTTGCCATCGCGACAGCAATGAGATCCAATGGACGGCCGATCGCTTTCACTGTCGCCTCTTGGTCATCTTAAGCTCTTTGCATAAAGTTAAATCATAACAGTTACCATGGTTTCTATTTCAAACTATAGTAAACTAAAGTTTGAAACTATAGTTTAAAACAGGCGATGAGTGGGCCTCGCTACTCCCACCCACCATAACCCTCGCAGCGAGGTCCCACTACCGGCCTCCCGTGTTTCCCTGAGGGTCCTCAGGGCTTGTTTGTTCCCTGCCTAGGGCTCAAAGGGCGCCTCGCCCCAGGGAGTGGACGAGTAAACCCGGGCGCCAGGCCGTGCCAGTGTTCACTGGATGTTGCTTGGCGGCACATTTCGAGCAACAAACACGTAATATTCCTTGCGATGTTGCGTTTATGTACGCAAACCGCAAGGAACTACAGCACAGACGGGCCCGAGTGAAGTCTTCGTGAGATTGGCGTGGCTCGTACCGTCGGTATTGAACTCACCTTGATCAAGAACAAACAGCAACACCGACCGAACTGAAAATGCTGAGAGAACCGACTAGCTTTATAGGAATGCAGATGCAAATTTTTACAAGGCACGTCACTGCAGTCTCGTTGTCATGGTGAGCGCTGAAGAGGGCTCACCTGATTGGAGCACACAGGATCGGGAATTTCCTCACGGCTAGTTGCTGTCTGCTGTGAACAAAAACATATTAAATATATTCAATATATATTTTTACATTTTTTGGTGCTGTGTAATATTCTGAGATGCAGTAGAATATGGAGACAGATGAATATAATTGGGTATTTGCCGAGCTAGAGTTTATCCCATACTTATAAACTTCCGGTGACCTGTTATTGTGAGTTTTTTTCATTTAATACGGTTCCTTTTACAGCATCGATGTTGAAATGTAATTAAAATACATTCAGTTAAATAAACTTTGGTGTTCATTTAGTTGCTCAAGTGTAAAAAGAGACAAAAAGCCATTTACTCGCACTCTCCTGTCAGAATCGGCAGGCTAGCGCTGAATCTCCGTTGAATATACTGGGGTAAAATAAATGCTCATATTATAAAGATATGGCGGGGAAATGTAATTTAATGCAGTGCTTCTTGTACAATCTAAAACCCACTTTATATCGGATATCACTCAGTCAGTGGATATCGCAGATTTTTTTAAGAAAACAGACCTTAAACGTGCTGATTTTTCCATTGGCATACAGTTCACAGGAAGCGCTTAACCCAGGTAACTGGCAAATTAAAAGTCCTATTAGCTTCAGCATATAAAATCCCAGGATGTCTTTCGAAAAAGAGTAAAGGGTTTAACCCCGGCATCCTGGCCAAATTTACCCACTGGCCTCTGTCCATTATGACCTCCTAATCATTGGAGCACACAGGCTCGGGAATTTCCGCCACGGCGAGTTGCGGTCGGCTGTGGACAAAATACATATTAAATATATTGAATACATTTTTACATTTTTGGTGCTGTGTAATATTCTGGGATCCTGTAGAATATTGAGACAGATGAATATAATTAAAGAGAGATGCGGAAAATCAGAACAGAAAGTGAGCCTGGCTAGGACACACCGATCTGATAAACTCCTAGTGGTGGTAAGCTTCTTGCTATTCAAGAGCGCCATCTAGCGGTCACATAACCGAATAGCATGTTACTTGCTACGAACCACCCCCACTTCAAAAGGTCCAGCACTTGTCCTTTTAGTTATTTTATGTAATTTAATATTCTATAATATATTTATTATATAATTAATATAATATATTTATATTCATATATATTCCCGCACATCTGTGTTTGTGAGGCTGTTTGGTCACTTCATTAGTTTTATTCTGATCAGATCCACAATCGCTCAAACCACTTCAGAAAGTGATCTGGGATGCATTCCAGATGAAACTGGACAGGTGTAATCATTTTTTTAGACAAAATTAATATAAATAAAATGAATTATGACCTGGAGAAAATCTGACCTACGCCTGAAAAACCTGTAGGTGCACTTTTACAGCCAAATATCTATTAAAAACAGGTTTATAAGCATAAAACATGATCTAACTCTTCAGACCTAGAGCCAGGGGAGGCCCGGGTGGTTCAGAAGACCCACCCCTCACTGACACAGCTCCAGAATTTGTCCTATACATGAGCTCATTTCATTTTTCCTATTTTGACTGCTGTGCCATCATAAATAATGAAAATAATCCATCGAAAAAGGCTGTAAAACCAAACGAAATCCTCTGTCGGCTGTTGCTTCGACTTTAATGTGATGTAAGAGAAGTCTTCTTTCACTACTGTATTGTTCTTAAACAGAGGAAACATTTTACAGGTAACTTTATTTTAAATCTTGGACCTTATTTCTGAAATAAAAATGAGCAATAAAAAGGTGTGAAGCACCAGAAGCGGACCATATTACATTAACTTGAGTATAATTTGGCTATTGTTGATATCCACTCTGTTAAAATAGTTGGGTTAAGAATACTCCAACATATAATCCAACTACAGTTTAATATAGCACCTTCCCAACTATGGGTTATTTTAACCCAATGCATTGGGTTATTTTGATTAAATGTTTTTTTTTTTGCCCATTCTGCTATTACTATTGCTATTACTAGTACTACTATTGATTTTATAATTATGGCTTGGTAAATAAAAAAACATACAGTTTTCAAAAATATTGAAAACGCTTCATTTCCATTACATTTTAGTTCCAGACACTTTTGGTAAAATCAAGAATCACAAACAATGAAGAAACAGAACAAAGTGCAGACAGTTAGAGACTGTGCAAGCAGAAACCCCTCTGTTGATGGAGCAGAATATGGAGCACTATGTGCTGTATCAGTGGTCAATACATTTTAACCACATCCAAACGCTTCTAATAGATAGTCTTGGATGGTGAAATGGATATAGAAACACCACACAGAGAGGTAATTTGATAAAAATAACAACAATGATATTGCGTTGGAGCTTAAATAAACTATAACGCAAAAACATCATTACGTACGCATGATACAGCTGTTTTGTGTAAGTTAAATGAGTTGATTGTTGAAATTTAAAAATTTAACTCAACTGGTTGAGTTATTAATAAACCAAATAAAGGTTAAAAATAACCCAACAAAGCACCAAATATTGAACTCAACTGGTTGAGTTATTAATAAATAAGCAAATAAAGGTTAAACATAACCCAACAAAGTACCAAATATTGAACTCAACTGGTTGAGTTATTAATAAATAAGCAAATAAAGGTTAAACATAACCCAACAAGCACCAAATATTGAACTCAACTGGTTGAGTTATTAATAAATAGGCAAATAAAGGTTAAAAATAACCCAACAAAGC